CCTGGCCAACCCTGCACGTCCTCTGATGGCTGCCGTAAACCGAGGCTGGCTTGGTTGCTGCCCAGGTCCAGCTAGCCTTGGGTCAGAGGGGCCGGCGGGGTCCCTGGGTGCCAGTCAGCTGGGCCCTCATGGTCTGGATTCTGCCCAGGATCTTCTTCTGGTGGCCCATGAGGGTGATGCCCAGGGCGCGCACGTCCCTGAGAAGCAAGGGTGGTGCTGAGCAGCTTGGCCTGGGAGGCCGGGAGCCGTGGGGACAAGGATACACCCATGCCCTGGAGCTGCCAGCCTCCTCAGCAGCCCCCCATCCCGTCCTTGTGTCCCCAGCCCATGAGGACTGCCACCCATCCTCTACTCACTGAGCATCCATGCGCAGCACCATGCCCAGAGAGGAGTAGCCACCAGCAGCGAAGTGGTCCCGGTAGCGGCCCATTCGGATGGAGTCCAGCCAGTCCCCCACGGTGAGGCCCCCACCGCCCCCACTGCCCCCACGGAGGTCAAAGCAGCTCTGGGCAAAGGCAGGGGGCGGGCACCTGAGGCACAGGGATCTTTGGTAAGTGGCCTACCAGGGCCTCTTTCTCCTTGGTGGGCCCTGGCACTAGCTATCCTCACCCTCCATCCAGGCTCAGTAGTGTGCAAGGGGTCTGAGGAGCTGGACCCCAGGCCTTGAAGGGGCAGACTAAGGAAGGCCCAGGCAGGCAGGGGTCAGGGGCCCAGGCTGGGTCTGGTCCAGGGGCAGAGTCTGAAATAAGTCAGCCTTATCTGGGGCAATGTTGGAGGGCAGCCAGGCTTGGGCAAGGCTGGGGTGGACACCAGGTACCTGTTCACAGTGGCCGTGGCCCTGAGACTCTCAGGGCTCCGGATGAGGGCATCAAGGACACTGACAATCTGGGAAAATCGAGGCCGCTGGGCCCGGTCCTTGTGCCAACAGTCGAGCATGAGCTGGTGCAGGGTGCGGGGACAGCCCATGGGTGCAGGCAGGCGATACCCCTCCTCCACGGAGCTGATGACCTGGGGGGTGGGGTGGGCAAGCACAGTGCTGGGCTGAAGTCCACCCCTCCCTCCAAGGCCCCATGTACCCTCTGCCCGGCCGGGGTCTCCACTCACGTCACGGTTCGTCATGTTCCAGTAGGGCCTCTCCCCATAGGCCAGCACCTCCCACATGACCACACCGAAGCTCCACACATCACTGGCTGAGGAGAAGGTCCGGAAGGCGATGGCCTCAGGGGCTGTCCAGCGGATGGGGATCTTCCCTCCCTGAGATGGACACAGGAATGTTGAGGGCTTCTCCCCAGCCCAAGTCAGGGAGCAGAACATGGAGGTCCAGGCTGGGAAACTCGCAGTCCTGTGGGGGAGGCAGGCCCTCTGCCTCCCAAGGGCAGCTGTTCTGATGGGGAGATCTGCACACAGAGCTGTTGTGCAGACTGGATGCGAGAAGATGAGCAGTGGGCTTGGCACATAGTAGATGCTCAGTAAATATCAGTCAACAAGTCGGTGCCTGACCAGGTGAGGAAGCTCAGAGAATGAGGCCTAACAGCTTTCAAACTCCTTGTCTTCCTTTGTTTTCTTCTTTCTTCTTCTCCTTGGTCACAAAATCCTCTAAGTGAAA